AACGCGAAAAACTTGCGTGTGAAATTTTGCGCTCGTGCATGTGTCGTGCACAGGCGACCCAGCGACGCAATCCCAGAAAGTTGAAACATTTTCAACTTTTCATCGCTGTCGCTCGGACGAGGACCAATCAACAGAGGTTTCATTCACTGACCAATGAGCGGACAGGATTCTCCATACATCTCCGAGCAAACATGGAGAAGTTGATTATTATTATGTTTTACATAGTAAAATCAGAAGTAAGATTTCACATAACTCTAGCAGCACCTTGTGAAACATCATCTCTACCACTTTTTTAACTCTGAACCGCCTAAATAACCTTAATTCCCTCCAACCTGACACAGCCAAACAAAACAACGGACGTTTCGATTTCGCCATGGAACAGAACGCGTAGACGGCTTTGCCACTGGCCGCTGCCACGGATCGCCTCCCGTGTGTCAGGTAATAAAAGCGACGGCGACAAATTTCGCTGATCGCGGTCATTTGTCGCCTCCCGTGTGTCGAGCCCATTATACGTAAAGCCACATGGTACAAAAATGCAAGCCGTGCGCATAGAAGAACAAAAAAATATTTTACTAGTTTGCATGCATCTATTTTTCATACCTGCAAACTCAGAGGCTGTGAAAAAAAGTGACAACTAAATTTAACCCCCCCCAAACAAGGTCCCTGTGTGCTGCAGATTTATTCTTTACATTTACATGCATTTATTTTATTGAGAATAATAAAAAAAATGTTATGTGATTTATTTTGCAAATTGCTAGCTATTTTCTACCAGTCATACTGTTCAAGAGAGCTAAATACAATAAACTGACAGAACTGATCAGATAATGATTAGAGATCATCTAATAATAATTGTTAATTATTATGAAACTAATTCACAGAACACCAAACATATAAACATCTGAAAATATCCCAAATTACTGTAATCATTTTCAGTAGGATGACCAGATCCTAACTCACCAAAAGTGGGACAGAGGCTACTCATGGTTGGACTTGATGCTTCAATGCAACGAGAAAATGTAAAAATGGTTTTGAAATAAACTATTCTGCATTTTATCTCTAACATCACTGTTAAATATAAATAAAAGTATTATATGACTGATGTCTAAAATATTCTATTTAAATTAAACTTGAACAGCTGTTTCTCTGTTCCTCTCCTGTTACCACAGCTTAACTCAGGCTGGACCTTCTACTGTGGCATTGAGTAACTTTAGAAGAGGAAGAAAGAAAATATCATTTCTATAGCGCCTCTCAAGATAAAAATCACGAGGCACTTCAGAAAAACAAAAAATGTAAAAATATAAAAAATAATTTAGAAAATGGTTAAAATATATTTAAAATGAGCAAAAAATAGACAATTGTGATTAAAAATATGTTAAGAAAGAGAGAGAGTGAATAGGAAAGAGGGAAATTAGTGGATCATGAGGAAGGTGGAATAGGTGGGGAGAGCAGAATAAAGTGAGAGTGGTGAAGAAGATCATTCAAAAGCCAGCTTGAACAAGTTGGGACTGTGTTGTGGTGGTTCAACCCGATTTCCACAGCTGCCGCTCTCGGCGGCTAGCAGCAGCCTTGTGGCTAGCACAACACATGTGCGACCTTAAGGAGTTTATGCCCATTGACACGATACTTATTTTCTTCTTGCATATCATACAGTATGCCTCCCTCACGTTCCCCTCGACTGGCTGCAGCCACTCTTTGAAATCCGGGATATCCAGCCAGGACCCTGCAAACTTGCACTTTCCTATTCTCGTTGTGCATTCACGTTCACCAACACTCTTCCGTCTTAGCATTTAGGTGCGTTCGTAATATGCACCGGGAACACCAGAGCATTCTTTGCACTTTTGAGCTTCCACCCTGTCCGCCCTGGTGCTCTGAGAGAAAAATTACTAACGCACACACAACAGCGTAGTATTTTTTTTAAGTCTTTTTATGCTCCCTCGGTTCGTTAAAAAATAAAACTAAAACAAACTGTTGGCTATCTAATTCAGAAAAAAAATCTCTAAATTTAAGACTTTATAAAGCCGTGATAAGACTTTTTAATACTTTTTAAGGGTCTTAATTTTTCCAAAATTGATTTATCACCTTTTAATACTTTTCAAGACTCTGCGGATACCCTGGACTAAAACACCTGGTAAAAACTTATATTAAAAGCTTTACCGAACCGAAGGTGTTTAAAACCGAAGTCAGTAAAATTGCAACAAACTAAGTTAACCTTTAAAACGAACACACAAAAAGATCCCACTGGATCACTCAGTGTTTGAACTAAAAACAGTAAAAACTCATCCAAACGAAGGAGTTAAACCAAACCGAGACCTGGAGGACAGCAGAACCCCTGCACTGCTGCCTCCCAGACTGCTGAAGGCACAGCCTTTTTATCCAGGTGTTGGTAATCAGCAAGATCCGGCTCAGCTGTGCTCCTCAGCAGCCTGGAAGAGAGGAGGAGGAGGGGCGGTGTCAGGCTGATCACCGGGGCTGGGTGATCCTGGCTCCTGGATCCCACTGGCCAGACTGGTAGCCGTAACACCGACTCATGACAATTCCAAAACCTTCCTATTTCTTTACCTCTCAAATTTTTCAAACAAATTGACTCATTAATCCTTTCATTTATTTGGGCAGGAAAACCCCCTCGGATTGCCAAAGCCCATCTGCAAAAAAGTGTTTTCAGTGGAGAACTGGGCCTCAGCGGGAGGCCGGCTCCGCGGGGCGTGCCGTGTAGCTGGGCGCCTGGAGTTTCCGCGCCGTTCGTCCCATCCTCTGGGGGAACGGCCGGAGTGTGAGGCTGACCGAGAGTGGACCAGGTCTCGCACCGTGGCTGAAAGTTCAGCCGCCGTCTGAGCCCTCTCGATGACGCTCGTAAGATGGGGACCAAACAGAACGTCAGAGGTGATGGGGCCTTCCAGCATCTCCCTGTGCAGGTGTTCAGGAAAGGAGGGCAGGGCCTTGAGCCACAAGGCCCGCTGGATAAGGGTCTGCCAGTCAGCAATGCGAGCAGAACCGGTGAGTACAGCCACGCACAGATTGAGGATGGCATCAGCAGTTTTTAGTAATGATGGTTTCTGACTCGACAGGAGCGTCAAGCTCCTCCACCATTTTGGAAACGCCAAAGGCGAGAAGGCGATGTTATTTCCTGCAGCGCCGGTCTGGAAGGCGCACTGGTGTGCGCGATCGGCGAGCCGCCTCAGCAGCTGGTCATGCTTAGAAGCGGGAACTGCTCGCAGTACAGCGAGGTGGTTCTTGACGCCACACAGCGAGGCCAAGTCCGGCTCCAGTGGAGGAATGGATGGCCAGCCCAGGTCGGAGAAGCCCTCGACCTTGGTAATGGGCACATATGTGGAAATTGGCGCCTTGAGCCCAGCAGGCTCGGAGACGGCGGCGGACCAGCAGCTCATGGCAGCGGGGAAGCATGGCCAGACGGGGTCTGGACAGCGCGTCTGTGTTGCCCCGAAAATTCCCGCCAAGTCATCTGCCTCAGGCGGAGCCGGTTCTGGAACGGCTAGCCCCTTGCGGGCCGCAGCCACGGAGATGATGGTGGGCAGCTCCTGGAGCAGTGCTCTAACTGCTGGCAGGGAGGAGCGAGAAGCCACTGGGGGCAGAAGGACCCGCTGAGCGAGGCTCATCGACCTCCGTGTTGTACAGGAGGGAAAGGGGGCTACGGCAGCCAGCCTCGTCGTGCTCCTCACGAGGCTCATCGACCTCCGTGTTGTACAGGAGGGAAGAAGGGCTATGGCAGCCAGCCTCGCGGTCAACCTCCGTGTTGTACAGGAGGGAAGAAGGGCTATGGCAGCCAGCCTCGCGTTCGACCTCCGTGTTGTACAGCAGGGAAGAAAGGCTATGGTAGCCAGCTTCGCGGTCGACCTCTGTGTTTCACAGGAGGGAAGAAGGGCTATGGCAGCCAGCCTCGCGTTCAACCTCCGTGTTGTACAGCAGGGAAGAAAGGCTATGGCAGCCAGCCTCGTGGTCGTCCTCTGTGTTGTACAGGAGGGAAAAAGGGCTATGGCAGCCAGCCTCGTCATGCTCCTCGCAAGGCTCGTCGACCTCCGTGTTGTACAGGAGGGAAGAAGGGCTATGGCAGCCAGCCTCGTGGTCGACCTCCGTGTTGTACATTAGGGAAGAAGGGCTATGGCAGCCAGCTTCATCGTACTCCTCGCTGTCGATGACATCGTCCAGTCGGTAGGAGCCAGCCGGCTCCTGGCCGACGTTGAAGAACTGTAACGCCTTGTCCAGCGAGTACGTGCCAGCCACCGGAATTTCCTCGTCGGTGGTGGGGGTGAAGTACTCGACCCGGCAGACCTTTTCAGCCACGGGCAGAGTGGTACAAAACGGGCACGAGGCCTGGGGGTCAAGGCCAGGCCAGCGTGGTGAGCCCCGAGACAGACCTCACACTTGGCGTGCAGGTCGCCGCTGGAGATGGAGCCCGTCTGGCAGGCCGGGCCGGTCCTGGCGTCGCTGGACATGGTCGGTGAGTAGATTTTTCTTGTATAATTGCTCTTAAAGGAAGCTCTTAAGCTTGGCGTGAAGAGAAAACGGAGGCGAACAGTGGGGTCGTTCCACTTATATAACCCACAAGGGGTGCCCACGTGGTGGGCGTACATTTAAGCTCTTCATGATTGGCTGATGCTGAGATCACCCTTCCAATAGCAGCTCGCTTAAGGGCTAAGACTAGACGAAATAGAACTGCCAGCATTGCTGTTGCTGTCTCACCTGTCAGTTCAAAATGAGGAGGCCCCTCCAGGAGGATGCAGAAACCTACACCTCCAACTCCACATATCACACCGACAGGCAGAGCTCTGCAACCAGTGGCTGACCTTTCTACAAAAAACAAATAGAACATTAGAAGTATTACATTATACAACTTTTCTATAAAACATCAGTGCAGCAATAACAACCATGACCTTAGAAGGATGACTGTGCAACATGCCATAAAGAGATTTTTAAAACTCTTAAAACAACTTAAAACTAAAAAATTAAACTTACACCTCCTGATAGGTAATTTGATTTTATCCCATATTACCTTAAAGGACGACACACCCCAGAGAGAGAGAGAAAATTGATTATTTGTAATGTCCGATCACCATGCGTGAGCTGGGCCCAGACATCCAGCCCCCACTCTGCTACAGCCTCAAAGCCTTCACCTCACCAGCTCTGCATACCCGCGGTCTCCATCAGGAGACCAGAATGTTAGGTAATTAAATGTTAAGTAATATTTAATCTCCATGAACCTGAAATAACACACATGACAACAAGGAAGACATTTTACCCTGAGTCTCCAAAACATGGAGAGTTAATGCAGAGAAACCTCCTCCGAGGCTTCCCCATGTCACTCCCGTGTGCTCCCAGCTCGTCAGGGGCTTTATTCACCAAGGATGGGGGAGAAGGCAGGCCTTCTCAGGTTACAGAGGTACAGTTTTCTTACAATCAACATCCTTGCTCAACCTTTCATTAACAGCAACAGTTGGCCATCTTTTAGGCCTCAAAAAGGTACAATTATAAAAATACCCAACACCTCCAACTCCACAATGACAGGAAAAGCTTAACCGGAATGACAAATATCGCCCACCTTCCCTCCCCCTTAACATGGGGGATTTGAAACTGCAGCATGTGTGTTGTGGGCATAAAACATCTGAACTCACCTAATACTGTAAAAATCTGTATTTCGACTCCCAAACCCCATGTTTTTGGATTTGCCTGTGTGTGTGTGTGTGTGTGTGTGTGTGTGTGTGTGTGTGTGTGTGTGTGTGTGTGTGTGTGTGTGTGTGTGTGTGTGTGTGTGTGTGTGTGTGTGTGTGTGTGTGTGTGTGTGTGTATACATTCAGTCCAAAAAGGTATTTTCTGAGCTCTGAGAACAGCTCAAATGGCCCATTCAGATTCCTTCTGCTTGCATTCAAATTCCTTCAGCTGAGAAACCAGCTTGCACACCTGTGGAGGAATGAAGTGCCGTTTCTTCCCCTTCTTCTCTGCCTTGGAGCCTCGCTCAGGATTGACCCCAAAGAAAACTCTGAGGAAAAAAAAACCCAATAGTGATATGCAGACAAAGTTTGCACGTGTAGTGTGGCTTGACAGGAGTGGAGCAGTTCAATAAAATCCTACATTTGTTTTCTTCAATATGCCCCTATGTGTGAACCTCTCTATCATTCTAATTGACCATCTGTCTAGAACCCAATGTTGTTGTGGTGCTGGTGCCAGTGGCTAAGCTTATCTCTTCCTTTGTCTTTTCAAGACACATGCATTCACACTGCGCATATACAGAAATGTTTGCAAGGGCGAGAAGTCTGCTTATCACCAACACATGACAGCATGCATCCTCAATGTGTATGCAGGGATATTATAAATGCACAGAACACAGAAGGGGATAGAAAACACAGCTGACATTGTCCTATCAAAAGGTGTAACAGCACATTTGAACACGGACTGTCCTGGGGGTTATTCAAACATGGAGTGGAGAAACTGTCACATTCAGTGCATGTTACACATCAGTACAAGTATTAACATTTGGGCAAGAATCCACTATGTAGTATTTTTTAGATTAATATGTTTAGTCTTTCCTTCGGGGGGGGGGGGGGGGGGGGGGGGGGTCCCTGTAGCAACATATTTTGAGTTTGGGGTCTGCAGCCAAATAAATTTCAGTTTGTGCGTCTTTGACATGAAAAGGTTTGACCACCACTGACATAACCTGGTCTCAGGTGCTAATGATTTTAAAGAGATAGCTCAAAAGAATTTTGTGTCAACAAACTATTCTGAAAAAAATATGTTTTTGCTCCATTTCCCAACTAGAATCATGTTGTTTGTTTTGTTATTGATTGACTTAGGACACTATTTAAAGCAAAAAGCATGTTACCTGCCCTTTAAAAAGATATGACACATTTATTCCAACAATAGTCTTCAACAGGGAGCTACAAAATCTCCGAACAAATCCATATTCAGGGGGATCATAAGCCAACAACAGCTGATCTAAAAGCTCACAGCATGTGGCGACACATTTTGAGCTTGTACATCTCAGACAAACGGGTTTAGTGTAGATTGACAAAAAGCAGGTCAGGTGCAGAAAGGCACAGCAAAGTCACATTTACAAAGTATTTCCAAACAATGAGTGCTTACCTTTGCATGAATTCGAGAGTAAAAGCCATCTCCGGTGGGTATTGGACGTTGCAGACATAAAACATGGAGAAGACGTAGCTCAAGGCCACAATGGGAGAGGTGATGTGGTCATTGACAAGTAACCCATCAACAGCAATCTTGAATTGCTGGTCACCTTAAACACAGAAAAGCCATGTACGATTTACAAAAAAAAAAAAAAAATCCTACATTTTAAGGCAAGCAAAACATTTCTTTAATAAATATGACACAACAACAGCTTACAACAACAGCTAACAACAGCTTGCTGGGATACAAAAAAGATTTAACTACAAACCTCTGATTAGGATGCATGGGGTCACTGGGAGTTCGACTTCAGGATCTGCAGAGATCTGTTTTGGTGACAGACACGATACATGAATTAATGTTTCCAGTGCACACAAACCTGCTGGCAAATTGACTATCTGCTAGTGTCTTCATCAGACATAGGTAGCCATTATGCACAAACATTAATGTAAATAGTTTATAGATAGAGTTTATAGAGAATATCAGCAGCACAATTAGGGGAATCTATACTTCCTACTGTGGTTGGTTACTTGGTTCACCACTGAATGCAAATAATTATCTTGCACACAGTTTAAAATCTACAACATCTACCTCTTTTTTGTGGAAGAGTTTATAAGAGTCTTCCTTGAAGTATTTTGAAATGCCACAGATGAGCTGAATTGGACCTTCGCCCGTCTTCATCCCTTTGGAGTCAAGGAAGTCATTGATCCCCTTTTCTTTTTTGGAAAGTTCTTGTTCAAGGTTCAAGGTGTTAATTTTGTACAAGTACATAAGACTAACACTCATTTTCGTTTGGAGCTATGGAGAGAATTTTGATAAAAAATAAAAATGAACTATTTCATTTTCATTTGCAACCTGTTCTGTTTTGATCTCAAATGTCCTGCTTTTTTGGTTGTCATTTCTTGATTTTTGGTCTCAAATCTATTCCATTTGATTGTTCATCCAAGTTATTCTATTTGATTGGTTGCCAGTTTATCTTTTTTGGTCTCAACTCTCTTTTTGGTTGCAAATCTTTTTTTGATTGATTAATAAAGACAAAATTTTCTCCATATGGAGCAGCACAGCACAATCATAATAATAACAATAACAACACACCTGTGCCAGCTTGTTTTGTACAGAGAAGCCAAGGAGTTTAGATGCATGATCAAACAGGTGAGGAACTTCAAACAGGAATGGCCACTCGTCCTTTACAACGGCAATAGTGGTATCATCATCGTTGAGGATTTCACGCTGAATGGGATATGTTTCAGTCATCAATTTTCGAACAGATGACTCCTAAAGATATGAGGCAGTTAGACAAACAGTCGAACAGTTAGTCAAACTAACCAATTAAAATAATAAAACAGGGTATCAATTTCAATTGGCTATGGGCATAGTGATACAGACGATCTACAATTTCACAATGTGTCCTAAATTGTACTTGGACCCAGACCTTATCGCATTACTCCTGCTATATGTCTAGATGGTGGACTGTAGGAACCGAATTGCCCTTTGAGGATTACTAAAGCTTTCTGTATCTGTAATGGATGATTGCAGACCCACCTGAAGATCCTGGGTTTGAAAGGCACGTTTCAACTCATCTCGTTTAGACAGCAGGTCTTCTCGACACACGGCCCCCTCAATGATTGGATCCCACGCCACACATCCATACAGATCTGAATTCCTGGGCCTTTTCTTTGTTGAATTTTCACCCCCTGCTTGCCTCTTCATTTTAGCTTAGTGGCCTCTTCATATTTTCAATTCTGTGTTCCAGCTGACGAAAGAGAGTTTCAGAACCATCTTTTGCAAAAGGTTTGTTTCCAAATGGCTCTGTCAGCTTGAAAGAGTCAGGATATTGTCTTACAATCATACTGGCAAGTTCCCTCAGCTTTTGTCTACCAGGTCTTCCTGGGTGTTTATGGAGGTAATCTTCAGCGACGATCCGAACCATCTCTCGTCTGTCTTTCCCCATTATGTACTTTTTTTCACGCAACTCATCCATGACTTTTGAGGGAAATTTGTGCCATGGTACAGAATATGTGTCTTGGGATGGGGAGTCGGCTGTCTCAGGTGGTGTTGAGGGCAGCTGAAACCTCTGTGGTTCAGGTGTTGATGAGGGGCCAGGCCGGGTGAACTGGGGTGGAGTTTGTGAATCTATGGATGACATGACAAACATCTCCATAAATTAAACACATCACAATTGTTGCAAATCAATTAATACATTGGTCCTCAATGTCCAGTGTAGCGTTATGAATATTATAATTGTCTGCCCTTAACAGCTGCCCCTTTACACAGTAACAACGTGTAGGAATCGCCAAGGTCGGATGCTTGTTTCAGTATGTTTACATTCCAGGAGAAGACAGAAGAAGAGAAGAACACTTTCCATTAATTAATCAAAGTACTTTATTTGTGATAAAGCTAATCAAAGCATATGTTGATCAATAATAATCAGGTGAATGATCTGTGAAATAAAGATGTCATGAGTTATGTGTTTAATGAATAAACAGGACTGCACCAGACAGACTGATCTACATTAACATGGAAACATATGACACATTGTTCTCAGCCAATCAGAACTTTCGTCTGTCGTAGGGCAGAATCTGGGTTGTTTAATGAAGTTGTCCAATCCGGTTTACTAAGATTTATAAACAACTAGGGGATATAAAACAAGGCAACGCCATTTTATATTCAGTTCCATTTTAACCTGAGCTCTGTTCGATCTGAGTTCCAAAGGAGTTACATCATAGACTCAACGTAGTTTTCAACCAGCTCTCGATCCATCACCGCAAAAGAGAGGTGCAGCCTGGCCAGCTGCACTTTCTACTTTAAGCTGAGAACTGTCAAGCTGGAGATTTCCGTCGTTTGAACAACAAGACGACGTTCCTTCAAAATAAGAGCTAACTCGCTGACGCCTGCTGCTACTACTGGGAGTCGATCCGCAGACGGGCTTTGTCGTGCTGTGACCGCTGTTCTACCAGTTCCAGTACATCTGAAGGTACGAGGACCTGGCATTTCCTGATCTAACACGGGAGACTCCATAGGTACGTAGTCACGGCACAAGATGGCTGCTCATGTCATCAGCTTCGGAAGCCTCGTGGTCCGTAGTCATAACATCAGACAACCAGATCCACCTACGGCAGCCTAGAGATTCTGAACAACACACACACCCACGCACCAACACTATAACATTCAAATCCATATGCATCCATCATTGAGATAGTCCTGGTAGATTGTTTGAATTCTTAATTATAGAAATTAAAGATTCTTAAACGATCCCAATTCTCTCTCTTTTCTTGTCTCTCAGTCAATACAAAGTGTTTAAGTAAACTCCCTGATGATAAAAACAACCGCTTCCGATTATAATATATAGATCTAATTACAGTGTATAAATATACGATCTATATTTCACTACACCAGTTTGGGTCAACCAGGAATACAAATGGACCTAATTATGAAAACCAATTATAGAGTAATTATTGCCATGTACAGCTGATGGCAACTTTTTTTGGCATTTTTGGAATAAACCCTTGTAGTTTCAGAAAACTTGCATTAAAACAGAGGGGCAAAAATTCACCTGCTTCCAATGCTTTGACAGCTCTGACGAATCTTTTGCAATGAATGAATGGCAGATTGTCTTTAATGTCCTCCGGGTCCACAAGGCTCAGGTCATCTACAGAGAGAACTCATAATTCCTCCAGTTTAGCCATGAGTGTATCCATCTTATCGCTACTGAGCGATGGCATTGCTTTCTTGACAGTTTTTCACAAGTTCCATGTTGGTGTGTGTTTAAGAGGAATGAGCCACCGAGTACCTCTGTGGTAAGAATAAAGTGGATGATAATCAACAAGTTTGTTCAAATCATGGCAACTGAACAGGTCAGAAGCATTTTCATCAAGTTCATAGAGTCCAAGCTCAGGTATCCAGCTGGCAGTTTTCCCTCGAAGCAAAAGTAGGACAGTAGTTTCATTTTTTACAAAAATGCTTGCTATTTGTCCTAACTGCAGTAGTCCTTTTGCATAGCTCAGTAAGACCAGCATTCCATTTGCATATTTAGTGCCTTTAACCTGCACACTCTCTGTGACAACTGAGTTACTTGAGTTCAAATCAAATTCACCAACCACTGTCTTTATGTTCTGGTCATAGAGCTCTGGATAGAACCGTGTTGAGTCTGACACATGAACCTGGGAACGAAACAAGGTACCACAAGACTGATAAGCCTGAAGCAACTGGTGCCATTCAGCCAGAGACTTGGTTACATTTATGAAGTTCTTACTTGCCCTAATGCACCTTTTAAAATAAGAATGTTTTGATTCAAAGCACATTGTCCAAGTATATATGAGTGGGCCAAATTGTAAAGTCAAGTGTGCATAGTGAAGCAGATAGTGGTGTTTTGGTCTAAGTTGAACTCTTGGAAACAGCTCTTGCCTCAATTCCACATACAGTTCAATCAGTCCCTTCATGAAAGCAATCTGCAACTCTGAGAGCCGAGGTGCACAGACAAATTCAACAAGCTCCCTCAGAAGTAGTACAAGTCTCCATACTTCATTATCAGCATCTTCAATTGTGTCATGCACCAAAACAGGCAAGAATTTCAAAAGCCACCTGTTTTGGGCTGCATGTCCTCCAAGCCTGGCTCCTGTAGTGGGAATGGTGTTTAGCTTGTCACTGCTTTCACCAGGAAATGATTTGATTCTTTCATTAAGAACCTCATAACTGAACCACTTTTGTGTTCTGATTAAGAACTGCAAAAACAATGCCAAATCATAATCCACTACCCCCTCAAACAGATCATGAGCTAAACAAGCTGGTAAGCCTGGCTGACACACATGAAAGTTGGACAGTTTGTTGAAAACACTGTCACATTTAACACCGTGATGAGTGTGTACTTCATCGTTACTTTCCAGAAACCGCACAGTCTCATTATGATCAGCTGGATTTCTATGAGTGAAAACTGTGAGAGGGTTCGACTGAAATTCACTTTTTGTTGCCAAACAGTATCTGCAGAAATATTGAGCTGTGCTGAAATTTTCTGTAAAGCCACCAATCATGTGGGAGCCCAGATTATCGCCCATTATGCACACAACAGTGCCTTTATATATTTTTCCATTGAAAGATATGCCCCTTTCCTCCAGCTCACACAAGTCTGACACTAGCTTATTGAAAATCTTATCCATTCCAAAGTATTTGCAATCTTTCTCTACACAGAGTAATGCCAACTGTATCTGATCAACAGTTGATCGTTGGTGTGGATGAAAATTTCCAAGTGTGAAGTAGACAGCCAATACTTTATGCTTTGTCTTGGCAGATCCGAGTGGATTAGCCACCTCAAAAGCATCCTGAAAGAGCATTACCTTTAAACTGTCTGGGTCTGAGGAAAACATGGCATTGGATTTGGTGGCCCACCCATCAGTGACATCACACAGTACATCATCTTCAGAATTAGAACTAGGACTGTGCTGATCTAAACCTTGCTGTTTCAGAATTACTTTGAGGGTTTCCAGTATTGGGATGTAATGATAGTGCCTCTTCTGGCCACTGTGATTGCGTCCAAGAAAGACTTCAACAGGTTCAACATAGTCATAGTGTGACTTGTAATATTTCAGCCTCTTGTGTTGCGTAGTTAAATGACCCTTTTCATGTAATGCCTTGTGCATAGGGCTCTGCTCGTATATACTATTCCCAAGAGATGTTACAGTCTCCTTTGGAACACCATACTGCCCCAGTTCACAGGCTAGTGCATCCACAGTATATTCCTGTTGAATATCACTTATAGTTCTCATTTCATTTGCTATTTCTGTTATTGTGGAGGCTGGAACCAAATATTTTGCCTGTAAACCCAAGTAAAACTGAGCAAGACTCTCTGTGAAGTTGTCTTTCACTTGATCACTGCAGAAATTATCACTTTGTTCTGCATCAATGTTAAAACTTTCAGGTTCTTCAGGTTCTACATGTGATCCTTCACCTTGGAAAGACCGTTCTGTTAGTTCACCTATATGAACTGGGGCTATCTTGGTAACATCCCACCCTTTATGGTATCTGGAAATATGCGTTAAAAAGGATGACTTTACATTGAATGTCTTAGAACATCCATCAAAGGGACATGTTACAGTCAAAACCTCATCTATGTGACCACTCAAATGACACTTTAAAGTTTTAAGATCATCACATTCACTGCTGCAAAAATTAAACAAGCACCTTAACTGTACAGACACATTACGGTTCCATGTTTGTGTGCTCCTTCTGTCTACATGAGCTCGTGACATATGCACAGCAAGGCTACTGTATGTGTTAAACTTCCTTCTGCAATCCCTATGGCCACATAAAAAAAGATACATTATTATTATTTCTGTGTGTTCGGCAGTGTTTCAAGTAATCAGTCGAAGACCGAGCATTAAAACCACAAATGTTACAAGTCAACATTTTTAAGAGATTGAATTTGCCAATTGAAGGATAGCCAGAATCAGAACAGAATCAATATGAAAACAATAAATTTATATCAACACAGTGAAGCACATTCACTTTTCAGGTACCTTCAAATAAGTAATCTGCGTTGGGCTGCATGGGCCACTCTCCTTGGGCTTTAAATTATTTTTCTGCAAAGAAATCTGATTCTACTTAACTATCACCCCTTTTAATTATTACCATGTTCAGTTGCATGCTAACGTAACACAGCGAGCTATAACAATACACACATGTGGCTAATTTACACATGCACACACACAAGCGCGCATCCAATTTATGGGCTAATGTTAACTTTAGTTGGGCAAACCACGCTTCAAAATAACGCAAAACCCACACATTCAAATGTTACCATGAAACACACACGGCTACCAACTGACTATCGAGACCAAATTTCATGTAAGAGGGAGGGAAAAAATGGTTTTTGACGTACTTACGAAGCGCAGGCGGCTGGCTAATGCTAACGCAGCTAGCAGCAAACGTCCACTCACATACACACCACTACCAACTGCCTATCGCGACCAATTTAATGTACGAGGGGCACTCCATTCTCATTCCACACAACCAACCTGTTTCCAACTTTCCTTGTGACTTGCAGAAATTTAGGTAGGCACTGACCACACTGAAAGTAATGGCGTCGGAATATTCTGGCTGGGGGAGAAGGCAGAGTTGCGCATGCGCAACAGCAAACTTTCCGTAGTTTGCAAAACGGAGCGAATCCGTAGCAAATCCACAGTAAAGGGACCCCTAAATTTATGGATTTTTTTTAACAGTGTGGGGGAGGAATGACCGCACCTCCAGCCAAGTCGTTCCCTAATAGAAGAGCCACACCTTCCACAGGCAAGGAAGGGCAGACTGCTACTTCACATGACCCAGTAAAAAGTCCACTCCGCAAGTAAATCCTGTGAAGGGGTCGAGAAACAGGCACAGCATTTACTCCAGCCAACAACACAGAAGAGCCGGTAGAGCTCAGGTCATCAAACGGCAACACATTTTGTAAAATCAAAGTCTGAGAAGCCCCAGTATCTCTCAACATCTTTACAGGAGTCAGTGTTTCACAACTGTCAGTAAGAGATACATGTCCTTCTGACATAAAAGGACCAAAACTAAGACTGTTTTCTCTAGACTTAGAGACAAAACCCATGGGCTGAGTAGCAGACCCTTTTTTCAATCTTCCGCTTGAGGATTACACAATCTTTCGCGACATGCCCTACCAGGTTGCAATAATAACAGTGAGGTTTTTGCAGACAAGGAGGAGAAGGAGGAGATTTAAAAGGTTTAACTGACACAGGGCGAGCGGATTCGCCCCGATAACCCTCACCATTAACACGGTGTGTTAACACAAACTCATCCGCCAGGAGGGTGGCTGAGGAGAGAGAAGAGACTTTTCTTTCGTTTAAATATATTGCTAGCCTCTCTGGCAAACATTTCTTAAATTCCTCCATGAGAATTAGTTCTTTAAGATCCTGTAGGGTTTCAACCCTGGAAGCAAGGATCCATTTTTCGAACATCAAAGCTTTTTCTCTAGAGAACTCGACATAAGTTTGCGTGGAGAGTTTTGCGTTCTTTGACCGGAACTTCTAACGGTAGGCTTCAGGAACCAACTCATAAGCGACAAGAACAGCAGCTTTTACTTTATCATAATCCATGCTGTCTGATAGAGAAAGAGAAGCAATTACCTCTTAAGCTTTTCCGGTTAACTTACACTGCAGCATAGTGGACCACACCTCCCGAGGCCAGTCCAGAGCAGCAGCAAGACGCTCAAATGTAGCGAAGTAGCTGTCAACCTCGCTCTCCCCGAAAGTCGGCACCAGAACGAGGCACTTGCTGATGTCGCACTCATTTCTCCGTTTGTCCATTGATCTCTCGTGATCAGTCTGTGGATGAAACACCTCCTTTTGCTTGGTATTCCAACTCCATGCTTCTCAGCTTTATCCTGTTTTCAGCCTCGATCTCACAGCGGCGGATCTCAACTTCGATTTGCTGCAATCGGGCTGTCTCCTCGGCCTGTCGGGCCTTTTCCTCAGCCGCATATTTCATGCGGGCCAGCCTGAGACGAAGACGGGCTTTCTCCATACCAGCAGCAGAGGAAGTGGAGGAAGAAAAACTCCCTCCAGTGAGCGGCGTCTGCGGCGGAAGAGCATCCTTATCATCTGGGACAGAAGGGCGCTCGGGTGCAGCACCCGCAGAAGCAGCAGC